CAAACGCACAAACAAACGCACAAACAAACGCACAAACAAACGCACAAACAAACGCACAAACAAACAAACAAACAAACAAACAAACAAACAAACAAACAAACAAACAAACAAACAAACAAACAAACAGACAGACAGACAAACAGACAGACAGACAGACAGACAGACAGACAGACAGACAGACAGACAGACAGACAGACAGACAGACAGACAGACAGACAGACAGACAGACAGACAGACAGACAGACAGACAGACAGATGAAAACTGACTGACAGACAGACTAACAAACTAACAGACAGACACACATATACGTACATAAAAATACAACGTCACATGCAGATGGACAATAGAAACATAAACAAATGAGGAAAAAACAGACAAACAAATGACAGAAACACACGACAGAATAATTAAACGAACAAACAAATAAACACATTGGACAGTAAACAATAAATAAACAAAACAAAAATTTAAAAACAACAACAGATAAACAAACTGACAATCAAACAAAACGAATTCACGTATAGACGTACACATGTACTAACAAGGAAAGGACTAAACACAAAGTGAAACAAAAGATTTGTAGGGTGAAACTGACATGGAATGAAAACAAAACTGGACTAACACACTAACACACGACATAACAACGGTAAGAGAATAGAATTACAAAATTTTAGAATGTGTAACATCGAATCTTAAAACCTCACCTGTTTTTTTTTCGTTCTGTGCGTTCCAATATTTCCAGATAGTATGCATGTCAACTATAGGCAGACTAGGAAATGTAACTTTTGTCTTGCTTTCCCGCCCTAGATATTTAAAGGCAATAAAAATTCTTATGATGTAATGGACCACATAATAGATCCCGGGATTGTAGCGAAATATATCAGAATAAATCCAACGTCATGGAAGAACGATATTTGTTTGAGAGTCGAGTACTATGGCTGTGACGGTAAGATAACAGGGGGTCTAAAAAAAACGCTATGGAAATTCAACAGGCTGTTGTGCACCACAAACTTAACTAAACAATTCAATTTTTACATAGGACGAAAGAGCTGTTATTTAGCTTTTCTATGATATATTTCTTATACTGTAACGATGAGAAATGGCCACATACTCGTCAAATAAAAGTTTCGATCGAAATCACATTCTTCCACCATTGGGAATTGAAAAAAAACATTAATTATGCAAAGTTAATCAATCCAAAATCACCGCGAGTCTGCTGCAAGGTACTTGTTTCGCAAAACGTTTTGATTACGAATATTCTCTGTTCAGTGGTTAATTGAACTATGTTTAATGCAATAATGGACGTTCTTATGGTCTCACTAAGACGAAGATTGACGAGTTGAGCTTATTTTAGTGATAATTTAACATTCAATTTCATTTCCCTCTTGGGAATTCCGAACGGTGGAAGAATGTGATTTCGACCGGCAATTTTTATTTGACGAGTGTGTGCCCATTTCTCATCGTTACGATTTAAAAAGATTATCATTCAAAAGCTAAATAACTGTTCTTTCGTTCTATGTAAAAATTGAATTGTTTAGCCACGTTTATGATGCACGACAGCCTGTTGAATTTCCATAGCGTTTTTTTTTAGACACACTGTATAGTCAGTTTTAAGTAGAGCCAAACTACAGTAGTCTTCTCGCACTCTTTTCTATAAGCCTTTTCCGGTTTATCGACGCCATATTGCCAATGGCAATGGCAATGTTATGATACGTTGTTTTCTTTTTTTAGCGTGAAGAGTTGAATATGAAAGTGCCATTCTTCAGTTTAAAACAATGAACACCGGTGTTTGGACAAGACTTTGTTCCACCACAATGGCGATTTACTCATAACTAGCAGCAGTACAAACTATACCATGCAGAAATTTCAGTAAATCGTTTGCAACGAACACATTGATATAGCGGAAATATGTGGGGATAAACCTACCGGATTTTCTTAGACATAGTCATTTCAGCATAGACATAGTATAGTTCTATTTTTATAAACAAAGCATAACATTTGTATACCTCAGGCTCAGCCGCACACGTCGAGTCGCAAACACGTTCAGATGTAATTGGTGATTTCCGTCCAATTTCTTCATGATACCACGAATTGTGAAGACAAAAGATGAAATAAGCGTATGTTGTATTGACTGTAACATTTTGGACAACTTTGAAAGAAGATTTCCTACGATTTTCGACGATTTTCAACACATGTGCCGACAGAGCTTCTTTCCCGATGTTAAGAAATTCATGCAATTTGGCAAAAAATTACCATGCGCATAAATCGTGACGAGTGATTGGATAGGGTTTTCCCAAAACAGTGACACTATAGAAATTATGCTATTGTTATATTTGAATGACTGAGCACTTTGCTCAACACAAGAGTTCGTAAACACAATTGAAGTTGCATTTTTAATTACCAGGCGCATGAAATCAACAACAATAGGATAATTTCTACTACAGTGTCACCTTTTTGGGGGACACTCTGTATAATTTCGAATTATATCATACCATATCATACCAGCATACAAAGTCACACAATTGGTAAATAGAGCGTTTGCACATGACGTCACAGCCACATGACGTCATAGTTAAATTTTGTAATATATACTGTATGAATTATTGAGTAAAGAAAAACCATTACTTCACTGTTGTCTTCCTTGTATGTGAGCTTTTTAAATAAAAACAATTTTTGGATTTCGCTTTTTCGAGACCGCTCCATTCAAAATCGTTCATTGGTGGCATTAAAACAAAAGAATCTTAATTTCTATCTTTCATTGAATTTGATATCAACATGGACGCATTTTATTGTTTTTCAATTCTCAAGCGGTTGGATGGCAACAATTTGAATGATTCCTAGCTTTGAACTTTGTTCAAAGTAACGTATGACTGGATATATTTGGATTGAAAATTTATTTTAAAAAAACCTAACAGAAAATATACATTGTTACACATGTCGACGTTTATTGCACTTTCCCACCACACAAAATTCACCAGCGCTATACAGGGCAGCAGATGATAGTCAAGAAAATTAAAGGAGCATGAAAATTAAAGTAAACCAATCAACTTCAATCTGAACTTCACGTCATGTCGGCCATGTTGGAGAAAGGCTAACAAAATAATGGTTTTCACTTGTTTCATCTACCAACCTGACGTTACGACATTTGATCAATTTCTAAAGTTGATTCTTTTTGGACTTTTTTATTAATTTGGTTAGGGTTAGGGTTAGGGTTAGGGTTAGGGTTAGGGTTAGGGTTGCGGTTATGGGTTAGAGTAGGGTCGGGTTTGTTACATAGCCATTTAACACCTCTTCTATCTTTTGAAAATAACGTCAGGTCAGTTTGGTAGATGGAAACATGTGCTGACCCAATTGTATTTGAAGCGTGTTGTATAAATCTCAACAGATTGATTGCAACCCAGCAATATGTAATTAGGGAATTAACATTATTGACATTAATTTCTCACTCTGATAACTGCAGGTTGACCATCATCTGTTGCACGATATAGTGCTTAGTAAAACACTCCTAGATATATTAATTTTAAAACTCTATATAACTTGTAACATCAAGGCAAAACATAATGTGTAAATATGCACCGTTCAACTTTGTTGGTTGCATCCGTTGAAAGAGCCAGTGGCAAATAAGCAAATATGAGGAAACATTCGTGAATTAATACGTAATGCCACAGAATATTCTTGACTCACTTTGACGCCATAATCTCCTGTTTCTATGGCAATAACCTAAAGGGAAAGAGAGAATAATAAGTACTTCTGTTTGAACACGAAGAGGCCAACATCGTACGCATATTTCACTTGTAACTGCATGGTTTTATCATTTTCAAACTGTTCTCCCCAGAATGGCATCCCTTACTGGTCCAATGTTACAACGGGAGGAAACCAGTGCAGCGAAGGTTATCCTTTTTGGTCGAATGTGGTTGTAGGGAACCGAAATTAAACCAACTTCATATATTATACAGGATAGCTTAATCAGTTCAAAACTGTTCTCACTTGAGTTCCAGTATATATTATACAGGATAGCTTAATCAGTTCAAAACTGTTCTCACTTGAGTTCCAGTATATATTATACAGGATAGCTTAATCAGTTCAAAACTGTTTATACCTTGAGGTCCAGTAAGGACCATTCCTTTGGTCCAGTGTTTATAAGGCTCATTTCCACTGGGGAAAATTTTCTGCAGTAAGAAAATTTTGTAAAATGTGATTGGCCGACACAAATTTTCATTCGAAACAAAAATTTGAAGTTGAAAATTTTCAACTTTTAACAAAGATATTTTCGGAGTAAATTCTGTCCGAGGAAATTTTTCTTGAGTGGAAATGGGCCTTTACAGCATAGTAAATTGGAGTACCTGGGGAAAACCAGCGCTCTTTGGCAAAGCTAAAACGGAAACAGTCTTCTCATATGTGACTGGGGTGGAATTTGTAATCAGACAACTGCATATAGACCCATTGCGCATGACGTCACAGCGCCGGTGACGATGCATCTGGAGGACAAATTAGCAATCTATGCATAATATAACTTTTGTAAACAAAGCAAATTTTGTAAAAGTCTATAATAATTTTGTATTAAGATGGTTAAGTTTTGCGCTGTATGTGGTTTTGTACCCGAACAGATATTGTTAGGGAGAATCTGGAGGACACTCTAAGGATTTGTGACGTCAGTGCAATGGTCTATGTAACGATGAAATGGTCGAGCATCACTAGCAGAACTATATATGGATTACTCCACACTCCCCAAGTGCGTCCCAATATTTGCATACCTTGCGGTCAACTCTCCCTGTCACCTTATTACGCATGCGTACATAAACACCTGCGCCTGCACTCTTGGGGACAGTATCACAGCGACTGTAAATTCTGTAATATTTCACTTTCTTCATTTGACAAAAACGGATGTTTAAGTCATCCGGGCGTTTCTCGTCATCATACGCGGATAAATACATGTACGTTTTGTTCACTTGAAGGATTTCCTTGCCGTCCGCACCCGCGCCGACATAACCAATCGGCATTGGAGTGGCGGGAAGTGGTGTTGACGTTTCTAGGACGGCGTAGTCCTTCAAACGAAGCTTTTTAATTGTAGCCTAAATGTAAACACAAACGACTTTAGCAGAGACTCGCCAGCCAGTCATTCATTACTAGGGACAAGGCTCGACTTTAGCAGAGACTCGCCATTCATTCAATAGGGACAAAGTATCGACTTCAGCAGAGACTCGCCAGTCATTCAATACTAGGGACAAAGTCTCGACTTTAGCAGAGACTCGCCAGTCATTCAATAGGGACAAAGTCTCAATTTTAGCAGAGACTCGGGCGCCAGTCATTCAATACTAGGGAACTCGATTTCAGCAGAGACTCGCCAGTTATTCAATAGGGACAAAGTCTCAATTTTAGCAGAGACTCGGGCGCCAGTCATTCAATACTAGGGAACTCGATTTCAGCAGAGACTCGCCAGTTATTCAATAGGGACAAAGTCTCGACTTTAGCAGAGACTCGCCAGTCATTCAATACTAGGGACAAAGTCTCGATTTCAGCAGAGACTCGCCAGTCATTCAATAGGGACAAAGTCTCGATTTCAGCAGAGACTCGCCAGTCATTCAATACTAGGGACAAAGTCTCGATTTCAGCAGAGACTCGGGCGCCAGTCATTCAATACTAGGGACAAAGTCTCGATTTCAGCAGAGACTCGCCAGTCATTCAATAGGGACAAAGTCTATCAACTGAGATACATGTTCGATGGTCTGGATACTGAACAGAAGTCATTTATGTTAATTTTGCACGGTGAGATACAGTTGTTTTTTGTACCAAAAGTTCACCTAATGACATCATATTTGAAAACTTTGACAGTCAAGATAAAGATGAGGTTTTTTACTATAATGATACATTACATTTCTTCTTAGAAGGACCCAAATATTACACAAACCAAAAATCGTATTTGGGGTTAGTCCCACTTTAAAACAAAAATAGTAGACCTTACAAAAAATACCAAACGTAAACAAAAGACGTTTTGAAGCCATCGTTACCTTTCTCGATTTCCAGATAGGATGCACACGTGTATTTTCGACTTTAGCCCACTGCATCACCCGAAATTTGTGTAGAACACCAACTTCAATATCTAAATTTCATGTCAAAAATGAAGAGAACATTATAAAACAGTTGATAGGCATGAGAGGTCATGTTCAATAATAATAATAATAATAATAATAATGATTTATTAGCGATTCCAAATTGAATTGGCTCTTCTATCACTAAATTAACTAATCTATATTAACAAGTACTATATTTACAATGAGTAGCTATGAAGAGTTAATACATCTATACAGTACATTCACACAGTCACAGTACATATTTCACAAAACAGATGTAACAAAACATGGGCCAAGTGGCCAAGAGGGCCAAATCTGTGAGATAGACTTTCACACTTGTTCTAAAAATGTTGAAATCTTTGCAATCAATCTATCTTTGCAATCAATCTTTCAAAACGGTTGTTCAAAAGCTTCTTAGCTTAATCCTAGGTTGACGAAAATCTCAAAGTAATTCCGAATATCTTTCTTCCCCAACTCATCTTCAACACATAATTCCATCTTCAGACATCCACCGAATTACGCCAACTCTACAATGTATAACTCATCCCCGAATCGTATCATCCATTAAGTCTCACTTGAAAATATGATTCCCACCCTATGAATTCCTGACCTTCCCACTGACCTCGCCTCCCTTTGATATCATTATACACCACTATTAAAACCTGGTTCGCACCAGCCTTCTAGCAATTCTGTCGGCGATATTTCTCCTCCTGACAAATGTGATCGAATGAATGACATACAAAAGACTTAAAATTGTTTACTTCTGAAAAGCGACTCTATACTTTTGTGTGCGAGTTCACTCATTTGCATCCGTCAGAAACACAAAATCGCCGACAAAATTGCTAATGTGAACCAGGCTTAAACACCCTCCCTCCCTCCCTTCCCCAACTCCATTTGAAAACATTATTGCCCACTCCGCACTCTACCCTTCTAATTCACACCTACCTTTCCGCTTTCCATCAGGTTGTACACAATGCGCTGCAGTCAAAAAGAACCGAGGCCGTAATAAAGCTACTCCACTACACTTTACTTCACCATTCACTCGTATCGCTACAGCGCTGTTGAAAGGAAACCGACCAACACTTTGTTCACGAAGACGCAATCTATTATCGGGCAAGAACATCTTCCGTTTCGAGCGCGAGTGGGGACTCTGAGCTTCCTCATTCTCCACTTCCCAAGGACCTGGCTTCGCTAACTCGTTTATAGAACCTTTGACGAGCTCGCATCCTTCGCTCGTACATTTCAAGTAGGACATATCGAAGTCATCGCCGAGAGCTTCTGGTAAATCGACGTCCCCTTCTTCGTCATGGCTTGCGAGATCCAAAGAATTCCCCAAGAGAATATCAAAGTGAATTAAACACGCGATGAAAAATATTACACTCACATTCATGTTTGAAAGATTGCGCATTGGAAATATCGACGCAAATTATTCACATAAACTGCGCGTATATTATTCCAATACTTCACAGCGCGCAACAAGAGTTGAGGAATTTGCGCAGTTTGTTTTCATTAGAATCCGCACAGTGGGCGACCGCTTGGCGTGTGTATTTGATATTAACGAATATGGTAGAAAAATTGGTACAATTTGCGAGATTCACATGTGTTTATAGTCGCTCTAATCACCGTGCTCTAATCAATTCTACTCGCAGACTGCAATTAAGAAGATTTCTCGATTAAATTTGACCTCTATGATTTCCAGAATAGTGTGCCAACATTGTGTCTGCACTTGAGTAATTGCTATAATTAAGAATGATGTATACGATAACCTTTCAACACACTTCATGTTGTTGAAAAAAGGTGCGTCATCTATTGACAAAAGACCTTTATTCGAATGTATCATTGTATCAATGAGAATACATGAACAGTTTAGTGTATAAAACAAACTACAATTCAATTTTCATGATATGAACGTATGCTTTGTGAAATGCTGCGAATTCTGTAACAATTTTATATAGGCCTAAAGGTTTAGTCTGCGTAGATCGTGTTCAAAAAATTATTTTCGCTGCGATTCCTTGATAATATTTTTTTGCGCAAACGATCCATTTTCCCTCAGGGACATATCTGTTCAGTTTTTTTACCAGTATAAGTATGTTGTGACTTAGGGATTTCCTTTTTCCTACAGCTAAGCTCAAATTCGCAATGATCCACAGGAAATATTTCTCATTTTACACCTAAGTGAATAAGTATACCCTGCATGAGGTCAGTATGTATCGATTTCGGCTGTACTACATTATATGCCACCCCCTTTTCATGGCTTCTGCCACCCCGGTATCTTTTCGCTCAACTTTCTGGCGTAAGGACTGAGGAACCGTTCAAAAACAGTTCAATTTGCGCATTTGTTGTACAAAATGTACACGAATGTCGAAGTTTTGCTTGTATTTTTAGGTATTTGAATTCCTTCTCAATCCTATGTTGGCACACACCGTTCGAGTTATGATCTCAGCTTGCGTTTTATTTTTATTAAATTTTATTTTTACATGTTTTTTCAGCGCGTATTGATTTTATCGCGGAACTGTTTGACACCAGTCATGCTGCTGGTATGTATTCAGAACTGCATGACTCAAAATGATCACTGCACAACTGCTGAGAAAATTAGAGCACGTTTGGAAATATGTCTAGCCAGGGGCGGTGTGGCTCTCTGATACAGATAGGTAGATATATAAATGAAGCGGTCCACTTTGTGAGGCTCTTTACGGGGTAGAATTTCTTTTCCTAAGCCTTTAATGCATTTTATCGTACTCATGTAATCACTGGATATATACCTACATTTTCCGTACATATATTTTGCAATATTATGAATATTGAATATGGTGAAATTTTTATGAAATTGTTTTAATATCACAATCGAATACTACTGATTAATCTCGTCCAATAATTACTTATGCTACATAATTGATAATTCCACTTGGTCATCTTAACCAACTACACTCATTAACAAAATTATATGTTCGGTAATTATTTACTATACTACATACGGTAATGTAATTAATGTAAATAATTAGCTAATTATCATTAAAAATATATCCAAGTCCAATCAGTTCTAAAAATCGTTCTACGATTATTAGAATTATCACACATATTAGTTTATGGTCTACCTACATTGCGCCACGCACAGAACCACTCTCCTATATCGAAGCTTTCCACGAATACCGACCAGTGTACTGGAATCCAACGCGTTGTACAAGTTTGTCCGCTTCTTCGGGGCCTCGTCTAAGAAATCAAAGAATGTTACAAGAATATGGACCTTTTCATCAATACGGTCGCCATCTTCAAACCGCAATGCATTGTATACTTACGTTCCAAATTTGTAAGGTATTGGTTTTATCTTCTCAGTTTCAATCTTGTGCAGAAGCGGGGTAACAATTCTCCATGCCTCCGCTAATTCATCACTGCAAGAATAAATATTTAGGTACATATAGTTGTTATATAATATCATATTATGACAATTCGGACGGAAACCATTGATTTCATTAATTTACTGTGTAATGGTATAAAAAAATTCTTCACCTTCTCACAAAATGTGACTGGCTTCCTGAAAAGACATCCAAAATAAGTCTTTCATAAGCATCAGGTAATTTAGCATCCTGAAAACATGAAAATACAATCAGTTACATAATGACATCACGCTTTACACAAGGGCACAACAGGGCCGTAGCAACCGGGGGGGCTGGGGGGGGCTGCAGCCCCCCCAATAATTTGCTAATAATCATTCTTTTTTCAAAATCATGCAAACTTTATCATTTAATCTGTGACAAACTGCAAAGAATGAAGATGTTACTCATACTCCAGATCGTTCCTCGCGTAGAAATTTTAGCTGAATTTCTGTCGCGCATTTTCAAGAAAATCCCACAAAATCTGCACATTTTTGATGAACTAATGATTTATTTTGTCTTTTGCGTGTTGGGTCTTGCGAAAGAAAACTCTGAAAATGCCATTTCAGACCATCTAGAGACTCCAGATTTTCGAAATTTTCTCAAATGTTAGTAGTATAGGAACTAGCGTGTCTAGACCACTAGCTTTTGCGACCATTTTTCTGTGAACGGAAATCCGTCTGGCTCAATCTGAATCCTTAATTATAAATTTATTTTCTAGACCATATTGGTTTTTTAAGCGCTAGATTTTCTAACAAAAATAAAACGATTCACTTCTCTCAAATCTTCAAATTTCAACTCCACCGATTTCATTCAATTCCTCTATTCCAAAGCCTATTCAACATCTTTTATTTCACTCCTGAGGATACTCACACCCTTCTATAAAAACCTTTCAATCAACGCTTGAACAACTACCTTCCATACGCCATAGCAGCGTTTACTAGAGTTTTTATGTAATCTTCAGCTTCACGTGGTAATATGTCCTTATTGTTTCTAGTTAGTGTAAGATCCGCCAGGGTTCTTCGAAGGGGGCATAATTTTCTACACTTATTTCTTACCCTTTCTATTATCATCCGATCTGCTTCCTCTTGGGTAAATTCTCCGGGTAGCCTTCCAACTCTTATCAGTTCATTTACAGGTTCGACTTTACATTTAACTGCTTCCTTCATTGTTAGGTAGTGTCCGTAAGCATAACTGGTAACTCCATCCTCCAAGATATACCTTTTATCATCAAAGCAACTTAGAGTGACCTTCCTCATTTCGTAAGTTCCAATTGTATGCTTGATGCTCCTGATTGTATTCATATTATGTCTCATCCTACCTTTCGTACTAATTACATTCTTGAAGTTCTCGTGAGTGAGCTTATTTCTAATGACATACTTTTTGACTCCTTTAGCGGTTATTCCACCTCCACCGTTTTCCTTCACATATGAGTACATCTTAGACC